GGGTGCGCCATCAGGTTGCGGCACTGGTTGGCCGCGGCCGCCGCCGCCGCCGCGGCCGCCGCCGCCACCGAAAAGTTGCCCCCTGCCGCCGCGGCCGCAGGGTGGGGGAAGCCCCCACCCCCGGCCCCGGCCGCTGCCGCCGCTGCAGCCGCTGCCGCCGCCGCCGCCGCCCCTTCCATGTTCTTGTTGAGCTCGTCGGCCACCAGGCCGCCGCCGTTGTCGTAGAGAAACATGACGGTGGGCTCGATCCAGCGGGGGTGGAGGAGCACGGAGGCTGTCATAGCCCGAGCCGCATGGAGAAGACCCCAGTGGCGCTGTTTTAAAAAGCCCCCAAGAAGTGAAGAGCGCGCGGCGCGGGGCCGGGGCCCGAGCGAGGGGGGCGGATCGCGCCCCGCGGGGTCGCGCCAGGCGGCGGCCCATTGGCCCGCCCCCCCCCCGCTCCGCCCACGGCGTATGCAAAGCGGGCGGTTCCAACCCCGGCTCTGCGCTGTGCACCCGCGGTCCCCGCCGCGGCCCGCGCCGTCCCCACCGCTAGCGCCAGCAGCGCGGCAGCGCACTATTCACCCAGGGGAGAGGCGGGAGACGCGGGAGGGTGGGCCCCCGCTCAGCCCCCCCTTCCTTTACCTTATCCCAGCGGAGCCCAGACCAGCGCAACGAGGCGGGGAGGGGAGGTGGGTGCGCGGTTGGGTTGCGACCTGAGGCGGCGGGGACAGGTCAGGGAAATCTGCTGGCGGCCAGAGATGGGAGAGTGGCGAGGACGGGACCAACCTAGCTCAGGATGGGTGTTTATTGGGGCCTCTGGGGCCGTTTTCTTTCCAGGAACCCACGCGTCTTTCTGCAGCCAGACCCTAGGACGGACATCGGCGCTTTCGGATTCAACAGCATCGCGATTTGGCTCTCTTTCCAGGGGAACAGTGGCAGGGCGTTTGCTGCTTGTGGGTTTCTGCGGATACGCCTGGCTCATGGGTCCCAGGACATTCCAATGGAAAGCTTGGACTTTATTTACGAGTCTCCTTCTCTTCCCTGTCCAATAGTGTTAGTGGGCAATTTCATATACTTGTATTTAGGCCCATAGACTCCGAACAATTTATCACATCCCATAATCACACATTCACTTGAGTGTACACTGGTGCACTCACTCACAGTCACAAACTTATGTGTACAAGCCTGTTCCACGCTCTGACCCGTTAACAACTCTTCCTCCTCCAGAGACTTTGAGATGGAGACAGCGATCTTTGTGCACCATTCATTCATGCTCCCACATCGACAGTCTGGCTGGGTCATCCCGGAAGGGGCTTGAGAGGAACTTGAGCTGGGCTGCTGGCTAGGACTGGAGCCTCTCTTCTGGGGCCTAGCACCCTCGGCTTCATAGAGCATGGACAGGATCTGACTCTCGACACACCTGGGGACCCACTATTTTACTCCGTTTCCGGACAAGAGAAAGGGACTTTTGGGGGCTACTTCCTGCCTTCCCCCCAAGTGGGATCTCCAGCTTGCAGAGGGTGGCCAGTCTTTGCTCAAGAACCAGCCCAAGAAGCCTCTCCTCTGTGCCTAGGAAATGCAACCCTTTTTTGGGAGCATGGTGGAGTGTTGGTGCTGGAAGAGCCAAGCAGTGACCCCTTCTTGCAGTGGCCATGTTTTGGTGAGGGATTCTGGGGGTCTTCCTGCAACATACTCCCACTTCTGATTTTGCTATTGTGAGCTGGTCCGATGCCCAGAAGGGGAACAAGCGTTCAAAGTGAAAGTGGGTGCATTACGGAAACATCAGAGCTAGGAAGTGCTGGATTCCCTTCCACCCCAGGCGGACTGGTGAGCAGCCAGGCTTGGACCTGCCCTCTTGTCCCAGCTTACAGACTCAGTAAGCTCAAGGCACTGAGCATATCACCCCTCCCTCCCATATACTCTCCAAGGCCCTTGGGCTTCCGGCAGGGTCCAGACCAATGTGGCTGGGCTCAGGCTTTTATCTGCCCTGATCCCAGGTTTGCCCTGACCAATGTAAGTGTCGCCCAATAAAACCTTCTATGACCTCCCAGCCCCACAACCCACCCAGTGTGCCCTTTCCTTCTTGACTTTCTAGTACTTTATTTTGGGTAAATATTGATTTGCCCCCAGTTTACCTTCTCTCTGGCCATTTTGCAGACTAAGGAACTGGGCTCTGTAAGGACTTGATTTTTGTGTTACTTTCCAGCCCTTTTGCCCCTCCTTCCTCCCCCCAAGTGGCATTGTAAAACTCACAGTGACAAAGAGACAGCGCAGGGTTCGAGGCCCCAGTTCCTGGGGACTTGAAGGCAGTTTTACATACAGGTCAGACATGGCTGGAGGCCAAGGTCAAGTTGAAAGTTGCAGTCTAGCCAGTGTGAGAACTGCCACGCAAGCCTGGAGATCTAGGCGGCTGCAAAGGCCCACCGCCAACCTCCCCGCACTCTTAATTCCCTTTTCCTTTGGAATTTTCATTTCTGGGTCTGTTTGGATACCCAGCATTTTTTGCTGCCTTTGTGGAGTTTTGGGGGCGATGTTTACCGACTCTTCTTCTCTGCCTCCGCCCTGCTTTTGGCTAGGGCTTTGAGCCTCTTCTGTTTTCCAGCCAGACCTGGAAAAAACGAAAACACAGTTTGGGGAGCCCCCACTAGCCGGCGCCTGTGCCAGCTCATCTCTAGCCATGGCGCAGCTGCGGGTGCACACAGCGGCCAAGGCCAGCTCCACATTCTTCCCTCCCCCTCCCACTTCACTGAAGCCCCGAACCCTGCGGCGCAGAGGAAGGGCCTCAGCTCCACAGACTGCCAAAGTCGACTGGGTCCCTCCTCACCAAAAATGGTGAGATGAGATTTCATCTTGTCCTCTGAGGAGCCACAAGCAGGTTTGTCTGCAAGGGATAATGCGGGGTGTGGGGGTGAGCGAAGAGCTTTGGATTGCATCTTGAATTAAGATTTGCTTCCAAAACATGGTGCCCCACCAAGGAAGGGCTTGGGGCTTGAATTATTGAGATATATGGTGCACCTTTAGTGATCAAATTATCTGGATATTTTCTTAGTTCTCCACGTATCCCTATCAAGTTTTTAAAACTTTCAAGTCATGGTCAGTTAGAGGAAGGCACCCTGCTTGTTCCTTTCTTGTCTTGGATCTCAATGTATATGATGTGATTTTTCTACCAGGCATGTCAATGGCGTCCCCTCGTGCCTCCACTGTTTTTAAATGTCTGCATGTCCTTTTAGATATTGAGTTGTAGCCGCCCATCAGTGGGTATGGTTTATAGAAACAAAATGAGCTCCGTGAGTAATATTGCATCTGAGTTTCTAGAATTTCTGCTCACCTTGAAGCAAAAATAACCTGCCTCCCCATATTCTTCTGAGAGAGTTAAGACATTTATTAATAGTTCCCAATACAGTTTCTTTCCCTGCCAGGCAGCCACCAAACTGGCTTGCTGTGGAAAAAGAAAGGTCGGAGGGCAATGAAGACTGGAGTGTGCTCTGAGAAGCAAGCACAGATCCCAGCATTCTTCTTCTTTTCCCAATGGCAAGGTCAAGATTTGCTTGCCTGGCCAGCTAGTGGGGCCTGACCTTCTTAGCTGTCTGTCCCTCTGAGTTTTTGTCCTCCAGGCTCAGAATTCCTGTAGGATTGCAGAGAGGCACCATCAACTTGACAATTTTATCCTCGGACTCCTTGTGGGTTAGGTTGGGGAAGTCAGGGGACCCACAGGGATCTGCGGGTAGCAGTGGCCCCTTGAACAAGAGAGCCAAGCAGAGAGCTCGGAAGTGGAAGAGGCTGCAGTCACTTTCCGGGCTCTGTCGGGTGTGCCAACATTTCCCGGAGGACCCCTGAGAGGGCAGCGCCGGCAGAACTGCAGGGCGGCGGCTGCGGCACAGCCTTTGTTCAAGGAGTTGCCAGAGCCTTTTTTTGTGCTCCCAAACGCCATGGCTGACAAAGCTTCTTACCTCCTGGGGTGGACCAGGGCATCCTGCAGAGCTTGGCTGCCCTGAAACCTTTCACAGAAGAAAAAGCTCTTGGCTGGGTTTTTCTGGGTGGGGGACTCAATGCCAGCCTGGTTCACGGGGCCCTGGGCTCCCAGGGTCGGAAGAGAAAAGGACAAAGGGAAACCACGTTTTAATCGAGTTTGATTTTCATTAGCAAATGAAATTTACCTGCTCTCACTTTAACTGGAAGGAGGCTGTCAGCACTGTTCCCTGGCACTATTTCTTTGCATCTATCCAGCATTAAGATAAACATTCCTTGGTTGGTTCTAAAGACAACTTTGTATTTCAGGATATTCATGTGTTTCTAATGTATCCAAACAGCTTTACAAGCCACATTTGCAGAACATCTTAACCCTCTCCCTCCCACCCGAGGCGGGCTGGGGGTGCAGAGATAATGGTATAGGAAGCAAGAGCCAGAGTAAGAAACAGGCTGAAAGGTTGAGGAGGGAGAAAGAGAAAAGAAGAAATAGTCAAACAGGGTAGAACCTCTGATTCTATACTTGAGCAGACGTTTTGGGAAAGGAACAAGTGGGGGGTTGGTCTGTTCATGGTGGGCTTTTCGAGTGTCCCCACTGGAGTGGAAGCTATACTCTTTTTCTTCAGGGAAAAGGGTAGGTCCCAAAACCTGGGCCGAAGCTGACCAGTGGGCAGGGAAATGGTGCATCCTGAGTCACTCCATTTTTCATTCTATATTTTTTTGTGAACGTGAAGCAATAGTGAGGCAGTGAAAGGCTCAAGGCTGTGGGAATAGTTTTGAACCCTGGGAAGTCACTTGGCACCATGGTGACCAAATGCTAACATGGTGAAAGTGGAAGTGCAAGGTCCAAAAAGACGCACATGGACTCTCACCTTTGCCTTTAAGATCCCCTCAAGGGGTGGGTTTTGAGGACGGCAAGGTTTTGGAAGAACAGCTCTTTTGCTGCCTGCCGGGGTTCTTCCGGTACCACAAAGCCACTAGTGCAGGACGCCTTAGACAAGACCTCAGAAGCCCAGAGAGGACCGCAGTTCCAGTTCAGCCCTGCTCTGTTTCCCCCAGAGAGTCCGGGAGAAAGGAGATGTCCCCTCCTGTTTTAGAACCAGACCCAGGTGCCAGGCTCCCATGAGGGGCATCCGCCTGCACAGCGCGGGCCAGCGGCACCGGTACTCTCCAAACCTGGAGCAAATCTTTGGCGCAAACCTGGAGCGAGGGGCGCGCTCTGGCCTCCAAGACCCGGCTCTGGGAGGCCCGAGTGATTCCGAAGCCGGCGGTGGCGGTGGCGGTGGTGGGAGAGTTCCCTGCACCTACAAGTGCCACCGCTCAGCTCTTCACC